CTGGCCCAACAGTGTACATAAGGCAACTTTTCCAATACACTCTCTTTTGGACCAGATCTATGAGATCTTCTACTTACGTTTGTCTGGTCATTAACTTTCTACTACTATTCTCGTTTGAGTGGCAGCAATTATGCCACATATGAGTTAGATCCAAAGGTTCTGGGTCCAGAAGGCTTCCACCAGTGGAATGCAACTCTTGCCAGAGGCAGGCTCCTGGCATTGAGGGGAAAACATCACTATAAATGAAACAAGCTTTGGATCCAGCCCTGTGTACTTATGGAAGAGAAGGGAAATAAGATCTTTGTATCATGATCCAACAATGACGCCGGTTGTTACCTGACACAGAACTTGGGTTACTTCCTCTTTCACTGGCCACCCGTGTGCCCAGAGTTCGCTCAAAGTGTTTCACTTTGACAGGGCAAGTGATCATCACAGAGCTATGTACACAGTCCTAGAAGTTAGGGGGGAAATAGCATTATTTACCATTTTTAATCCGGTTCTGATTTGCTACAGAAGAAATGCAAAACACTTTATTCTTGCCAAACGTTGCTGTTAATGAATCACATCAAAACAAGTACTTCCATTGCGCCTGAAAACTAGGGTTTTAACTAACAATGTTTAACTGAAGCCTACTGCTAGGAGGGCCTTGGAGGGTCTCTAAAGAGGAAGTGGTTCATAATTCTTTCTTTATTCATGGTTGGTGAGAAAGCAGCATTCTGGTTTAGCCAGCCTGCTCTCCAGCACTCAGAGAATGGATGCATGTCAGAAAAGAGGTGCCAGAGAGAGAGAGAAGCTGCAACGGGCCAAGGCTTCTAGGCATGTGGTTTGAGATATGTATTTCCCTGCTGCCACGCATCACTGGGGATAGAAACGTTCTGGGTTAACGGGAACTCATCTTTTCTGTAGCATATGAAGCAGTCTTCCACTGTGGACTCTAGTAAGTCTGCACAGGTCACCGTATATACCTTTCTATCATGGCTTGAAGTCTATACATTATTTCGTTTATTGATTTTGATCCTGTCAGCTCAGCTCATGAGATCTTGCAACAACTTACAGAAATGTAGAGAGAAGAATAAAATGTGGACAACCTGTCATTTTGCAAAATGGCTAAAAGCACACAAGCTCAAAACTGTGCAATGCCGTCTTCTCAACTGTCTCTTAAAGGTTTTTCCAGTCCCTGCAGTGGCATCAGTGGTGTCAAGGCAGGCTTTTTGAACAACTGAACAACTTACACATACTTGGGACAAGCTTTCTGATGCCTGGAGTTTTAGCAGCAACAACATGTGGGTGAAGAGAACCAGGCTGTACAGAAGTTCCAGCTCACTGTGTCATAGACAGTGGGGCCAGGCCTTAGAACACTTCATGTTCCTGAAATTACCTTTTCTTTCCATTTTGAAATGCAGTTGTTCCAGGGTTCGGTTGGTTTCGGCTTCTGTTCCATCTCCGCTAGAATGTTGCCCAACTTGAAGTAGTTTGCTTGTAAAAGGTTAACTTTCAGAGTTGCCTTCAGTATTGCAAGTAAAGAAACACTATTAATAAAAACAGTATTTTGCTGCATGTTGCATTGTTTTGTTTTCAAAAATAGAGAGAAACTCCCTGTTACAACGTATCCTCTCTCACCTCTCCCTTTGTGCTAAAACCAATGTCTAAATAAGGCCAACAGAAGCCAGGTTGTGTGTCACTTTCTAGCTTCTTGTCAGGGAATTCACTTTGCTTTCTCACGATCCTGCTGCTGCTGCTGTTCTTGAATGATAAGCAGTTGTTTGACACAATGGGGAGAGGTTGTAGCAGAGTGGTAGAGCATCTGCTCTGTATGCAGACGATCCTAGGAACTTCAGTTAAAAGAATCCGGTAAAAGGAGATGTGAAAGACCTCTACCTGAGACCCCAGAGAGCTGCCGTTAGTCAGAGTAGATGGCATGACCCTTGACAGACCAGGGTTCTGGTTCCGTATGAGGCAGCTTAATCTATTCCTGTCACACAATCTGCAGGTACTTTGAGATAACCTACACATTTCGGTTCATGCTGATCATGATTTTTAAAAAAAAAAATCAAAACCCTGATTTGAACTAAAGTTTTATTTAATGTATTCATATGCTGCCCTTTTGAACAAAAAGACCAAGACAGTTTACATGAATAGTATTAAACATAAAACTCTGTAAAACACGGAGCTACAACAGCAGCATAAAATTGCTACATCCAGTAGTAAACTGGCTGACCACTGCGTGGGTGACGATGGCTACACAACAGGGCCACTCAGACAAGGCAGGCATCTGTCTTTATTTAAGGGACTCCCCATGTATACAGAAATACATGACTAAATTAAACCAAAGGCAGGTGGGGGGGACCTTAAAAATGGTCGAGGACTGAAAATGCTCCAGACAGGATGAAATGCTGAGAGTAAAAGTTAAAGGGGGAGCAGAGGAGAAATCAGCCCGGTTGAGCCCCTGAGTAAACCCTGGAGGGGGAGTCTTGGAGGAATTTTGCACATTGTTGCCCCCTTCCACTATTCCTCGTGGGCCCCCAGCTTGGGAGGTTCTAAAAACCAAGTTTCTAACTGGCGGTGATAACAAGATGTTTCAAGCGCTTAAAAATAGAACCCTGTCCAACAGCAGCAACAGAACTCAAACAGAATGACTGAAAACATGAATTCCCAAAATAGCAGCATAAAAAGAAACGCTAGACCTAATAAAAGCAGAATATGCACAGAAACCTGAATCTCAGCTGTATTGCAAGTAAAGAAACACTATTAATAAAACATTATTTTGCTGCATGTTGCATGGTTTTGTTTTCAAAAATAGAGAAACTCCCTGTTATAACATATCCTCTCTCACCTCTCCCTTTGTGCTAAAACCAATGTTTAAATAAGGCCAACAGAAGCCAGGCTGTGTTTCACTCTCTAGCTTCTTGTCAGGGAATTCACTTTGCTTTCTCACGATCCTCCTGCTGCTGCTGCTGTTCTTGAATGATAAGCAGTTGTTTGACACAATGGGGAGAGGTTGTAGCAGAGTGGTAGAGCATCTGCTCTGTATGCAGGAGATCCTAGGAACTTCAGTTAAAAGAATCGGGTAAAAGGAGATGTGAAAGACCTCTACCTGAGGAGATGTGAAAGACCTCTACCCGAGACCCCAGAGAGCTGCTGTTAGTCAGAGTAGATGGCATGACCCTTGACAGACCAGGGTTCTGGTTCCGTATGAGGCAGCTTCATGTATTCCTGTCACACAGTCTGCAGGTACTTTGAGATAACCTACACACTTCGGTTCATGCTGATCATGATTTAAAAAAATAATAATCAAAACCCTGATTTGAACTAAAGTTTTATTTAATGTATTCATATGCTGCCCTTTTGAACAAAAAGACCAAGACAGTTTACATGAATAGTATTAAACATAAAACTCTGTAAAACACGGAGCTACAACAGCAGCATAAAATTGCTACATCCAGTAGTAAACTGGCTGACCACTGCGTGGGTGACGATGGCTACACAACAGGGCCACTCAGACAAGGCAGGCATCTGTCTTTATTTAAGGGACTCCCCATGTATACAGAAATACATGACTAAATTAAACCAAAGGCAGGTGGGGGGGACCTTAAAAATGGTCGAGGACTGAAAATGCTCCAGACAGGATGAAATGCTGAGAGTAAAAGTTAAAGGGGGAGCAGAGGAGAAATCAGCCCGGTTGAGCCCCTGAGTAAACCCTGGAGGGGGAGTCTTGGAGGAATTTTGCACATTGTTGCCCCCTTCCACTATTCCTCGTGGGCCCCCAGCTTGGGAGGTTCTAAAAACCAAGTTTCTAACTGGCGGTGATAACAAGATGTTTCAAGCGCTTAAAAATAGAACCCTGTCCAACAGCAGCAACAGAACTCTAAAACAGAATGACTGAAAACATGAATTCCCAAAATAGCAGCATAAAAAGAAACAGACCTAATAAAAGCAACATATGCACAGAAACCTGAATCTCAGCTGTTTGCAGAGACAGCCTGAAGACAAGCTAAACAAATGCCTGAGTGAAGTGCTGAGTTTGTGATTTTCTGGTGATAAACAGACATTAAGTGTAGGACGGTATTTCCAAAGGTGGTCCAAAACACCTTAGTAGTTTACAGCTCAAAGTGTACCTCGCTGAGCTGCTCCATGACCTCATTCTGATTCTTTGGATCTGAGAATTGTGGCATCTCCAGGTACGCTTGAAGCATCCTTTCCAGTCCTTTAAAAAAGGATATTGACAGTTATTGCCCAATCCTTGTTCTTAAAGGATTATTTTAATTGAGTTGTGGGATTTTGAGACCCTACCATCCGGGTTGAAGGAGTTCACTGAAAGGGGACTTCCATTTCTCTCACCAGACATCTGCTGCCACCACCACCACCCCCAAGCTGGTGCTGAGAGTGAGGCGGGGGCTGGACAAAATGTCACATGGCATAAGGGAACAGCATAAGGAAGATTCAGGCAAAATTGTGCTAATGGAGAGCTTGTTCCACAACATTTCTGGGACATATGGAGTTCAAGAATATAAGAAGGTGAGAAATCTGGGTTCAAATTATAAGAACATAAGAGAAGCCAATGTTGGATCACGCCAATGGCCCATCCAGTCCAACACTGTCACACAGTGGCCAGAAATACCAGGTGCCATCAGGAGGTCCAGCAGTGGGGCCAGGAGGACACTAGAAGCCCTCCCACTGTTGCCCCCCCTCCAAGAATACAGTGCATCACTTGCCCCAGACTGAGAGTTCCTATCTATACCTTCTGGCTAATAGCCACATACGCTTAGCTAATTCCCTCTTGAAGCTGTCCATAATAATCACAGCCTAACCTATCTCACAGGGTTTATCTATTTCATTAATTCATTTGTACCCCACGAATCACTCAGCCTAATCTATCTCACAGGGTTCATCTATTTCATTAATTCATTTGTACCCCACCTTTCTTCCCAAGGGGGACCCAAAGTGACTTAACATTGTTCTCCTCCATTTTATCCTCACAATACCCTTGTGAGGTAGGTGAGGCTGAGAGAATGACAGGCCCAAGGTCACCCAGTGCGCTTCTATGGCATAAGTGGGCATTCGAAACTGGGTCCAATGCTTAACCACTACACCACACTGGTTCTCAGGATTGTGAATGCAAAACAGGAACAGAGAGCAATGTAAATTTCCCTGAGCTCCTTAGAAGGGCAGGATAAAACTAGGATAGGTAAAGTCAGTTATGAATTTGCATAGCTCTTTGTGCTTTGTGATGGTTCTCCAAAGAGAAAACAGGATGACAGGGACTGAATCCAAATCATGGCTCACGAAACCATATCCCAGATCAAGGCATAACAGATAAGAACCTCTCTTGTCCTGCAGGGCCTTTTCTAAGTCCTTTTGTAGGCGCAGTACTTTCGTTTTGATGGAAGCGTGCCTCCTCTCTTTTTCAATGAGGCTTGTTGAATCTTCCTCCTTTACAGGAAACATCATTTAGACCCAGCAGAATAGTTGGGAAAGAAAACAGTGCATTAAAACCGGAGCAGACGCCTATTAAAAGTGCAAGTCTGGAGTAAAATAGATACTAGGTAACAGTCTGAACTCAAGTGTGCTTTGACTACTGAAGGTAGCGTGGCCACCAATCCTCCCCAAGTGACAAATTACACATTTTTGCAGTGATTTTATGGGTCTGGCCTGAGGGACACAACACGGGCTACAGCGGGATGCTGGGCTCAGGTGCAGCAGCCTCAAGGATGGTATGCCCTTGGGTTGGAGAGGGCAGAGCGGGAAGCAGGTCAAGGGACCACTCCCCTGGTTCCCAGGATGACAGTGCCTGCTGGGTGTGGACTCAACGGCAGTCGTGGGGGGGGGGGGGGCCAAACAAGGA